TAACATACTTGTCGAAACCCTTCTTGTTACCCTTCACATTCCTTGCTAGCTGCAAGTCCAATTATGTTTTGGCCTTTCAGATTTCATCCCTGCATGCCCAAGCACTATTTTTATAATCCTTCTTAGTCATCTGTCCAAGCTTCTACTTACAAGCTTCCTTTTTGTGTTTAAGCTCACTGAAGAGTTCCCTGTTAAACCAAGCTGGTCACCTGCTATATTTACTATTCTTCCTGCATATTGGGATGACTTGTTCCTGCTCCCTCAGTAATGTTTCTTTAAAATACAACCAGTTCTCCTGGACTCCTTTCCCACTCTGACTGGTCTTCCAGAGGATCCTGCCCATAAGTTCCCTGAAGGAGTCAAGTCTGCTTTTCTGAAGTTCAGAGTCCTTACTCTGTTGCTCTCCCTTCTTCCTTTTGTCAGATCCTTTTGTCAATCATCTCATGGACACTGCTGCCCAAATTGCCATCCACTTCTACATCTCCCACCAATTCTTCTCTGTTTATGAGCACAGTCAAGGAGAGCACTGCCCCTAGTTGGTCTCTTCAACACTTGCACCAGGAAGTTATCCCCAACACTGTCCAAACACTTCCTGGATCGCCTGTGCACTGTTGTATTGCCCTCCCAGCATATGTCAGAGTGATTGAGGTCCCTCATTAGAACCAAGGGCCGTGATTGGGAAACTTCTGCTAGATGTCTGAAGAAAGCCTCCTCTACTTCATTCTTGTGGTCTGGTGATCTATAGCAGACATCCACCATGACATCACCCTTCTTACTTTCTCCCCTGACCATAACTAGAGACTTTCAACAAGCCTATCTTCATAACCTAGCTTCATACATTTCATACTGGAGCTTTGAGCAATCATACAAAATCTTCAACAAATTTTTACAAAAATTTCAGAATTTTTACATCCAGTGCAACATCTCATCCTCTTCTCTCCTGCCTGTCCTTCCTGAACATTTTGTATCCATTCATGACAATACTCCAGTCATGTGAGCAATTTGACCAAGTTTCTATTAGTCCAATCATGTCATAGTTAGGACTTTCAGTTCTTCCTGCTTGTTTCTCAGACTCTGTGCATTCAGGTACAGATACCTGAGGTAACTAGCCAATTGTCCTACTTTCTTAGGATGAGTGAAAAGGCCTCCCCCATTGCTCCCTCCTCCTTGTGCTTCCTCTGGGTCACTCGCTTCCCCACTAACCTCAGGGCTTTGGTTTCCATCCCCTGGCACACCTAATTTAAGGCCCTCCTCAGTAGTTCAGCTAGCTTGTCTGTGAAGATGTTCTTTGCTCTCTTTGTCAGGTGGATCCTGTCTCTTCCTAGCAATCGTTCTCCTTGGAACAACATCCCATGATCAAAGAAGCCAAATCCCTGCTAGCAACACTACCTATGCAACCATGTAGTGATCTGCAGGATGTATCTGCTCCTGCCTGGGCCTTTCTCCTTGACCAGAAGGATCGAGCAGAACACCACCTCTGCCCCATTCCCTTCACCCTTGCACCCAGAGCCCTGTAGTCACTCTTGATCTGCTCAGGGTCAACCCTGGCAGTATTGTTGGTGCCCACATGGATGAACAGAATGGAGTAGTAGTCAGAGAGTTGGATAAATCTTGATAAACCTTTCATGACATTTCAGGTCTGGGTTCCAGGCAAGCAGCAGACCTCCCAGGTCAGGCTGGCAGATGGATCCTTTCATTCCCTACAGAAGGTAGTCTCCAACCACCACCACCTGACACTTCCTCTTTGTGGCAGTGGTCCCAGTCCTCCCCACCTTTCTGGCCTGGTCTCTTCCACCAGTGGAATGCACTCCTCCTTCTCTGTTGCTAGCGCTCTGTATCTGTTCTTCAGGCAAACCACTGCAGGTGGGGATGATGACTTCTTCTAGGTTCCAGAGGTCACACGCTTCCAGCTTCCAGGGAGTCCATACTGTCTTCCTTTTCTAGCCCTACCTCTGGCAGTCCTTCCTCCACAGTCCTTGAGGTTTTCTCTAGCATGGAATTGATGAAGTCCTCCTGGTGGAGGATGTTTCAGAGCCTTGCTACCTCCTCCTTTAGCTCTCTTGCCTTCTCACTGAGGGACGCCACCAGAAGGCACCACTTACATCTCAGGCACTCCCCCACCTGGCTGACACTGGAAAGAACCTGAAAGCTTCAGTCTGCATAGCACCAAACCAGGACCTGGGTAGGAACTTCAATGGTATATGGTTCTGCCTGGACAGACAACTCACAGGTGCAAGCAGAGGAAGGGCTGGAAGTGGCAGTGGCTCTGGGATTGCAGCATCCTCCAGCCATCTCCCTGGGTCTTCAAATTT